TGACTTCACACATATCTTTGAATTTCTTCGCAGATATGTGCATCACGATGTTTTCCTTCACCGTAAGAACGTTGGGTAAATTATGTACATACGAAAATTCGAAAATCACATTGGTGCTGCGGGATTCGAACCCAAGACCTGTAGATTACAAGTCAAGTGCTTAAACCACTGAGCCAGCGACGCTCTTGTTTTGTTTATGTTTGTCAAATTCTTAATGCAAATGTCAAAATAAACGTTACCATAATAACCTTACTTTCTTAATATTGGCAGCTTGTAGTTTATGGTCTCTTTCCTACATGAAGGTTTTTTTTTTATAATTTTTTTGCCCTCTAAGTTCTATAGTGTGAAAATATATAGTTTTAAGCGTGACGTCAGTGTAGGGCTTTTTATTAAAGAAAGAATTATTCAAAAATATGTTGTGATTGCTGACATCTTACGCCACAAAGTAGTGTGTTTACGTTTTATTATATCAACTAGCTGTTCCCGTGCGACTTCATCCGCATAAAATTATAAAAATCTCATTTTATTGTTCACATTTGTCAAATTATTAATTGCAAATGTCAAAATGACATGACATGATGTCAAACCATGGCTACCTTGCTTCCTTGATGTTGGCAGCAACTTATAGTCTCTTTCCCACATTAGGGTTTTTATACAAAATATTTACCCCCTAAGTTTAATGGCGTGATGATATATGTATAGCCTAAAGCGTGACGTAAGTGTAGGGCTTTTGATTAAAGAAAGAATTATTCAAAAATATGCTGTAACTGCTGACATGTTAGGCAACAAAGAAGTGTGTGTTTACGCTTTATTATAATAGTATAGATATAGAAATATAGAAGTATAGATATATATCTACATATATATAGATGGCACAATAATTGTCATTTAATTACAAATAATTATCTATATGTTATTATATTTGCACAATACGTTTATCCGTTTTTGTTTCCTACAATATATGATATTTCCTTGTAATATTTTCCCAAGACCAGGTTTTATAACTAAGACTTCCTTATACATTAAGTTGCACTTATGGTCGGTTTCCCAACTATAATTATGTTAGTGTTTTTGGTTCGATGACTTTATATTCTTTTTCTTTTTTTCTTTTTCTTTTTTTTTTACTAGTTTTAAGGTTGATGTATGTAAGATTTCATTTGTAGCTTGTTTTTGTGGCAATAAAAGTCCTATTTATTTATTTATTTATATGCGTTTCCGAACTGTCATTTGAGTTAACTCCATTGAAATGTAGGTTAACCTAACACAACGATAATATAAATGGACACTTCAGATACCCAGCATTAGTTGTTTTAATCTTCTTTTGTTTTCCTTTCGATAATTTTTGACAATTTCTTAGAAGAAAAAAAGTGTAACGACCGATTTTAATGCCATTTTTTTTCCTTATAGTTTGAGCCTTGCCTCATTCTACTAAGAAATTGTATCTATGATTATTCGCTTATGAAAACGTTAAATTTATCTTACAACTAGTCGGGCAATTTATAACGTAATTCTTGCTTGACCACCTTTGACAATATGATTAATGCGGTGTCAGATCTGTAAATAGAGTCACAGAAACTCGGTAATCTATACTATTATAATAAAGCGTAAACACACACTTCTTTGTTGCCCAAGATGTCAGCAATTACAGCATATTTTCCAATAACTCTTTTTTTAATAAAAAGACCTACATTAACGTCACGCTTTAGGCTACATTTTTTCACGCCGTCAAACTTAGGGGTAAATATTTTAGATAAAAACCCTAATACGGAAAAGACCATAAGTTGCTGCCAACATCAAGGAAGCAAGGTTGCCATAGTTTGACATCATGTTATGTCATTTTGACATTTGCTGTTGATAATTTGACAAATGTAAACTATAAAATAGAATTTTTATAATTTCATGGAAGAAGCCGCACGGGAACAGCTAGTACTATATTTACTACTAACATTTGCTCGCGATTACATCAGCGTAAAATGACAGAAACGAAATCAGTGTATTCCGCGGGAACCGTAGTGATTTCCGGGATCAAAAGTAACCTATAATATGCGGGTCTATGTCAGCTACCCTCCAGTGAAAGTCCCGTCGACATCAGCCCAACCGTTTCCGAGATTACCCGGAACAAACGCGGCTTGCGGACAGACAGACATAAAAATGCGATTTTCGTTATCAGCTACGCAAATACGTCATTTTCATGAAATCTGGGATTTTTACTATTATATTACAAACACTCCAATTTTATTATAGGGATAGATTAGCTATTAAATTGTATTATTGTTTATATTCCGTTCAATCGCAAATGTCAAAATTCAAATTCTTAAATAACAACGAAGACTTGCTATTGGCTTAATAACCGTTAAAATGGCAATCTTGCTTCGAGTTTTTCCAATTGACTCACCTCTCAAATTAAATAGCATAATAATATATAATCTACTAGCTTTTGCCCGCGATAGTCCGCGCGGAATAAAAAAACAAAAGCAAGTAGCCTATGTGTTCTTCCAGACTATCCTCTACTTCTATGCCAAATTTCATCGAGATCCCTTCAGCCGTTTAGGCTACAAACTCTAACAAACATACATCTAAACTTTCGCATTTATAATATTAGTAAGATAGAGGATCGTAAAATGTAGGTATTTTTATTTAAAAAAACAATGATTTTAAAATATGCTGCGGTTGCTGACATCTTACATAAGAAATTTGTGTTTACGTTTTATTATATTAGTATAGATTCAATGGAGATCAAATATGCATATTCTTGGCCTCGGAAACCACTGGCCCAATTTTTAAGTAACCTTAGTGTGATATTCTGAACAACAGGGTTTTGTGGCTTTTTTTACAGAGGATAATGCCTTACGCATACTCCGTGCCGTGCAGACACGAGAGTTATGTGGGACTCTCACCCCATAATGGGGGCATACCAACTAAACGCCTCTGTTCCCTCCTGACTATTGTGTGGGACGCCACCGGGGTTTTTATGGCCTAATTCTAGTGACAACATGAGACCACTGTATGTTTAAAATTGATATAACAGAAATAAATAATTATCGTAGTTTAGTAAAAACTAGCTATTGCTCACGACTCCGTCTGAGCGAAATAAAAAATATAGCCTTAGTCACTGATAATGTAGCTTTTTAATGGAGGAAGAATTTTTAAAATCGGCTAAGTAGTTTTTGAGTTATTTCAAAACATACAAAAATTATTCCTCTTTTTAATATTAGTATAGATAAAGTATTAAAAATTCTCATTTATTAGTTTAACTCATATAAAATAGCAAAAAAAATCATTGCAACATTTTAAAAGATAATTAAAAACGCTAACTGAATTTTTTCGAACAAGGAAATAATTTTAAAAATGCAAATCATCATAAATAATCAAACGCCTTAGCATTTTTCCTGTTAAATTAAAAAAAAAACTTACAATTTCCATTCTGCCCGGAGCCAGGTCCTTGTGGGATCACAAAATTAACGCTCAAAAGAAAAAAAAGCAACTGGCACAAAACATTCATTTTCGAAATTCAAAATTTAAAAACAAACGTTCCTAATAATATAATTCCCGCTTTTTATTTGACAGATTATTTTTTTATATCGCTAACATTTTTATAAACGCGGGAAAAACGTCCGTGTTGCTGACAAAATGAAAACACACTGGACATAACACAAGGTATCTGAGATGAATAACGTAAAGGTAAACTTGAATATATTCAGAGATGGCAAACCTTTACGTATCAGCGTGCTTTCTAAAACCATTTTTTTTTTATTCAAAACTGTTACGAATATTTTATTAAACACTAGCTGTCGCGACTGCGTCTGCGTGGAATTATAAAAAAAAACTAAGTAACCTATGTGTTCTTCTATGGCTACAAACTCTAAGAAACACCCATCCATCTAAACTTTCGCATTTATTACTATGACTAGCTGTTGTTCGCGACTTCGTGCGCGTGATATTAAAAAAAAGTAAGAAAATACAGTTACTCAGTGATAAAATAACTTTTTTATTATGAAAGATTTTTCGAAATCAGCCCAGTAGTTTTTGAGTTATTTCAAAACATACAAAAATACAAATCTTTCCTCTTTATAATATTAGTATTTTTGGATCAGTGAGTAATGTACCATTTTGTCGTGTACCTTGTGTTCACTACCCCTGCATTAATTGTTTTGGTTAGCTAATTATTTGCATGAATCATATCCTTAGTTCAATTACATTGTATTTCTACCATAAATTAAAATGACAATAGATAATATTTGTGCTCTATTTATTGCCTTCTGTGTTATATTTTGTGAGTCTACACTATAATGTGTCTAAATAAGATAGGTTAGTTTGACAATTCATTTTAAATTTAGTAGGGATGTGTTGTGTAATCAGTCATGAATCTTATCGATTTTCGATTTTTATTCTTTTACAACTTGGAATCGATGGATTTATAGTTATAACTTATGAAATAAAAGCACTGTTTTCTCAAATTTATAATGACCATAACAAATAATGAGAGTAAATAAATGTTTATTACTACTACAGCCGTACGTAATCTAATTGGATTTCGCTATTATTTCTGTCATCGCTAAATTCTCTACACTGTAATCAATACTAAAATTGTCCTCTAAATTAGTGAATAAGTAAATAATAATTTTAGTTGAGTTTGATAATTATTTAAACCGAATATCGATAGTTCATAATTGTTCGCTTCGTGTTTGTTTCGTCACTACGATACCTGCCTATTAAGTATGACATTTGCTTTCATACAAATAAAATTCGATACTTCATATGCGTCATTTATCAAACTAATCTATCTTATTTAGACAAACTATAGTTATTATATAAATCCAAATTAGATATCCAAATTAGATCACAGATAAATTAGAAAGTTAATTTATCTGTGAGTAACGATTGTCGGTTAAGCAGCGAATTCACCTTTTTTTATATAATATAAGGTGGCAAACGAGCAAGCGGCCACTGTCCGTAAACATCCGCAATTGCAGATGCGTTGCCTTCCCTTGATTGACGGAGGAGACGCACATAAAGAGGACATTTCCCCTTCCTATGCGTCTCCTCCACCGTTTAATCCACTTTTCCTTCCCATCCTTTCCTCATAAGAAAACAGTGGAAAGGCAAAGGGACTAAAAATTAGGCTTCCGGCACCACATTTATCAGACGAACGTTTAATACGATTCATCATCATAACCAGCTAACTATACGTCCCCACCGAGGGGCTCGGAGCCTACCCTAATAAGGGGTGACGAGGCCATAGTCCACGCTGCACTGCGGGTTAGTTGACTTCACACATATCTTTTAATTTCTTCGCCGATATGTGCATAACGATGTTTTCCTTCACCGTAAGAACGTCGGGTAAATTATGTACATAAGAAAATTCGTAAATCACATTGGTACGGCGGGATTGGAACCCAACACCTGTACATTACAAGTCAAGTTCTTAAACCAATGAGCCACCGACGTTCAATTAATACGATTGCCTCAACAGAAAAAATCAATTGTAATTGATATTAACTTGAAAACCAGTTTTGAGTTGTCAATTGGTTATTACGTATCTGCATACGGGGAAAGCCCTGACGTTTTTCCACCTTGATTTTTATACAAGGTTATAGAGCGGCCATCTGCAATCGCAAATATAGCAAAGTAACTAAAAGAAACTAGCTGTGGCTCGTGACATCGTCCACGTGAAAATAAAAAAATAATAAAAAACAGCCTAT